AATGAACGACAAAGAAACATTTTGTCAGAGGATGTGCTTATTTCATAATTACCCATTAGATTGAACTACTTTTAGTAACTTTATTGCACTTGCAAGGGAAATGATTTTATCCAAATCATTGTAATCACTTTTGCTGAGTTGACCTGAATTTTAACTACTTGAGTAACCTCTTTAAAAAGGTCATTTGAGAGTTTTTTGAGCAGGCAGTCAGGATGCTGATTGCGTTATGGAGATTTTTTGGAAAGATCTGTAATGGTCTACAACGCTTTTAAGGCCTGTTAGCCTTAAGTAGTCAAGTACAATGGGAAGATGCATTTCATTGCTGTCAGGTTTCATTTAATTCCATAGTAGGCCATATCTTAGTTACTTCGTTTGTTTCTGTTTCTTTGGATCTAAATCTAGTACGTGGCTTAGAAGAAGCTGGGAGCAAGCCTGCGTTTATATTTGTTGACCTGGTCACTTAAAGTGTGATTATATTGGCATGCGCTTCTAAAGATTTGACACTTTCGTTGAATGAGCTAATATCAGTTGTGATCTTAAAAGGGAAAAAAATCCTTACTTGACTATTTTTACATGCAGTTATATCCTACTGTTTATGTACTTACTTAATTAGTAAAAGCTGGTTTGCTCGCTTGCTTTAACATAGCTTCATTTATCTAGATACGTGTTCCAATCAGTATCTTCTTGAAGATTTTTCAACTTGAAAGTCATGGCATCAAGGCTATATCAGTTGATAAGGTTTTTGAAAGTGTTAGTTAGATGCATCCTCCATGTGAGGAAATATCCTGAAAATTATGCTTTTTTTCTGTGCCGGTGCTGTCATATCATCTTTGGAGGCATATAGAGGATAAAGCTGTCACTTTCTGCAAAACAGAAAGAATTGTTATGCCACTCTGAGTTCCTGCATCTAGTTGTCTAAGTCCGTTCCATAAGAGGGGGAGAGGGAAGGATGTGAAAATCATGTTATGAAAAGAATTATCTGCAGCATCATATTCTACAGAGGAAAGTTGGATGATCCCAAGTGAGACTTGGGGTCTGCAATCTATCCCATGCCAAATCATATTTTCTTGGAAGAGAAGCTCAAATTGATTGCTTTGTATTGTTTTTCCCACATAGCGTTTTGGACAGGGTACCCTTTTTTCTGTAAAATGGGATGGTCAAGTATCTTCAGAGAAGCTTCATCTTCTGTAACCACTATAGCATTTTCCCATTTTGAATAGCATTTTGAATGTTTGACTTTTGTCTGAGTTACTCTATATTGGAGGTTATGGTAATGCAACAAGAATCAGTTTTATTTAAGCAAGAACAAATTCCCCTTCATTTTTTCTCTTCTCTTTTGGTACTAATTTCTAAGTAGTATGGGTAAATGTGCTTTGCTTAGGAGCTGACAGTAAAACTTTTACTTCTAACTGAAGCTGAGATGCAGAATGTACGCAACTGCATGAACTGACCTTGAAGGCTATTATTTACTTATAAGTTGTCTTATTGATACAACTATATATATGAAAAATGTAAACACGTAAATGTGTGTGTGTGTGTCTGTGTGTCATAAATGTATACACTGTATGTATGTATATATGTGTGTGTATATATATATATATATATACACGTTATTCAAATGTTCTTCAGTGTTATGACTTTCTTTGTAATTAAAGCTATGGAGGAGATAATCCAATCCTATTTTTGATTGGTATTAATTACATGTAACTAGGCTAATATTTTGGAGTAGGTGCTTCTTGAGTTCTATCTGTCTGTATCCTTCTTGAGCTTAAACTTTTAGTAAGAATAAAAACTTGCGGTGTAAGAGGTAGTGGTATTTGTCTGCTAGCCTGTAATAGAAAGATATGCCAATTGTGTATAGATTTATTTAGGTGCACGTTACTTGAATCTTCATTTGAGTAGTCAAACCAAGCAAGCGTCAGTGTAACCCTTTCCTCAGACCCACAAAATTTGTGTGACTGTAAACTTACATATACAGCTGGCAAAATAGCGGTAAGTCAGTTCTATAGCACTTCTTCAGAAGTCTTGGCGGGTACATTGACAGCTTCTGCTGTGGATTACTAGTGAAACAAAAGATGGCTTTGGCTTCAGCTTCTAGCAGCGCTGGCATTTTGTGGTCAAAATGTCTTCTCAGTGAACAGTTTCTTCCTTTCACAGACTTCTATATATTTCCTTATAAAGTACACTGCAAAAAGTAATGACGTTTTGCAAATTTGTAAAACAAAGTTTGTTCTCTGCTAGGTAATTCTCTGCATTCTACTGTGGTTTGTATAAAGATGGGTTAGGATCCAGACAACTGATAATCTGAGGCTATTTGAGTTGCTGAAGTAATCAGATTGGATGTATTCCATAATGAGGTCTGGACAAAGCTACTACATGTAAAAAACCCAATACTTAGATACTGAAAAGTAAATAATAGCACTTTCATCAGTGCCTCTTAATTAGTGCTGAAGGTGAAAGGATTGGTGAGTGCAGTAGAATGATATTCTCCTAAAACAAGCAGTAACTCTCCTTCCCCCTGGGGATGGGGGTAGACAAAAAAGACCTCAAACCCAAAACTACCAAGAGGGAAGGAAGTGGTTGAAATAATCAATTTCAACTCCAATCTTGAAACACTTGGACTGATATGCTAACGTTTCTGGGGTGTTATGTACTTTGAGGATGTATACTTTATTTTTTCTTGATGGGCCTATGAAATACTCTGGCCCAAACAGTGCCTGCCTGATACTTTGTGCTCACTTTAGTAATTTCTGTAGTGATTAGTATTCTTCATCCTGTATTCAGAATATATATATCCAACTTCTTATCTTTAAAGAATATATATTTATGTTTGTATTTTTCCAAGTTCAAGGATGGTTGAAAGGCAGTATTATTTAATATTACCTTTTGAAAAGAAATGGAAAGCTTGACAAAATGCTGATGCCTAAAATTAAAAAAAAATAAAGATGAGTGTTCAGATAAGTACTCAGACTGAGAAAGGTCAAAGTTAAATCTAGAAGCTGATTGTTAATCAGATTAGCTCAATTCAGGTCTCCATATCAAAATGCCTTGGGAGTCTTTTAGTGAGGGTTAACTCTATGACAAACTTCAACGCTTTTAAGAGGTTGACATCTGATTGGCTGATAGAGTTATCTCCTTAGAAAATTTTAGTTGTTTGCTTTTCTTGTTCAAGATGTTAAGTCATTTCTTCTCAGACTTGTGAGCAGAGATCAAAGCTGAAAATAAATTTTATCCCAAAAATGAAGTTAAAGAAAAAAGCAAGAATCTAAAGACTTTTTATGAAAAGACTATTTATAATGGAACATTTGTAGTAAATATGTTGATTCTTATGTCTTCCAGGAAGATGTAGATTCGTTCAACTTTTTTCCTCTCATTATTCCCCCGATAGTTGTGGTATAAATGTAAACAGGTTTGGTTCTTCCTCCCAGGTGACTACCCTGTTCTTCAGTACTTCTTTTTAAGCATGTGTGAGTAATACAGATAGTTACAGAACTTTCCAAGAAAAAATGTGTGACTGAACTAGTTATTTCACAATTGTAATAAAGCACAATTGTTAATAGCAGTGATAACAACTGTGTTTCATTCAGTACATGATATTAAATTTGTATTTATTTGTGTGTGTCTTTGGGAATAGAGAGAGGCATAAAGACTTATTTCTGACTCTTTGTTTGGATACTGATTTAAAGTTGGTCAAAAGGTATTAGGGAAATCTCATAGGAGGAGGTTTTTTCTTATCTTGAGTAACTGATACACTAAATAGGCAAACTTTCTGTCTTTGCATCTAAAGTATTGTCCTTTTTGTCAGGAAGTGTTCTGAAGAACATAGGCATCGCTGCCTACTGCTGTGGACTTATTCTGGGCGTATGATTCCTTTTCTCTCAAATTGCTACATTTAGTCTTATGCTTACATTTAGTTCTACCGAAGCTGTTCTTTCTTTTCCAGGCTGCTTAAAGTTAGTACCTGCATGCCAGGACAGCTGCTACAGTCAGCAGGTTTCCCTAAGGCCAAATTACCCTTTATACAGGAAGGAGGAGGAGAAAAAACATGTTGTCTGCTGCTGATCTTAAACCTTCTCTAAAGATGGAGTTTCAGGCTGTCTCAAACTCCTCCAGAATGGTAGCTTCTGTCCCTGCTTTGGATTATGTAAGCCATGAATCTGGATATGGCACAGTAGAAAGAAGATCTGAAATAGGTGGAATCTGGAGGGTGCAAGAGCTAAGTTAGAAAAAAATTGAGGAAAAACCCTCTTGAACACTTGAGATACTAAGGATCCCTAGTGCGGAGGCCAAAACTTGCTTATGTGACTGTGCTTCTCGATGTGTTTGTGTGCAAGGGAACTGCTTGCTTGGCAGAGCTGAAAAGCGAGTTACTTGTTTGCTCTTCTCCCTTGTGACAGTTCTTTGCTGAGCCTGATCTATGAGACATATTTTTATCACCCCCACAGCTTGCTGCAAGTGGTTAGTTAACCAATTAAAGCTGCTTGTTTTCTAAAACATGTTCAGAAAGACCTGTTGAAAATGTGTTTCTGTGCTAAAAATAGTATGAGGCTCATAAGATGAGTGAGTGGAAGCCTTAGGCTGTAGTTACTTGGTTATAGTGCTAGCGTGGACCCGGGAAAGTTTTGGGTTCCAGCTCTGTAGTTATATCACTTTTTTCCCCCCTGTATAGTCAAGTACTGTGCAGCAAGTGTGTGTGTGTTTACCTGTCAAGTAGTTCACCTCTCATGAACTACTAGAATTATATGCTTTTAAACTGTGTAACTTGTGCTAAGACTTTGATTTCGCTTTTCTCTTCACACAGGTCAGGACAAAAGGATGGAGAGGTTATGCTGTTTACCTGCTTTACACTTTCATGTATAAGCAATTTTAAAATTTTACTGTACAGATGACTCGGAGCCTTTCAGAATTTTTTTCCAAGATTAATGTGAATTCAGGCCTCTAAATCCTGTGCGGGTCTACCTTTTAATGCCTGTTTTTTTTCCTCTAGGTTTGCAGTCTTTAAAAAAGTCATTAAGCACTGAAGAGGCCTACTTATAAAGAAAATGATATTCTCTATTGGCTGACTTGACAATGAATTTACAAGGAATTTTGTTCCTAGCGAATATGCACACATCCTGACTATATTTCTACATGACTGTGTGGGGCAACACGCGGAATGAAGCTGTCAGCATGTCTTCCATGGGCAATGGCACTGCTATTGAAGAATTCTTGGTCAACATTAATTTGGGACAGTATCTTCCTAACTTTAAACAATATGGCTATAACATTGTGACAGATTGCATGGGAATAGATAACAGTGTGCTTCAGCAAATGGGAGTGTTGCCTACAGGGCACCGCAGGAGGATTCTTAAGCAGTTAGACACCGCTTTTTCAAAAATGCAAGAAAACTGTCTTTTCTCTGAAACTCTAAAATTCAAAGACTCGAAAGGATTAGAGGAGAAGCAACGTTCATCCTCAGATCAGGAGTCCTCAGTAAGTAATTTAAATGTAGATGGGACTACAAAAACTAGCTTGGTATCTGCAACATTGTCAGTACAACCTGCTAATAAGGCTTACATTGGTAAAGAAGAGTTTGAACTTACAAAGCAAAACTTGTCAGAGGCAAAAGGTGATAGCTTTGCAGATTTAGAATTTTCTAGTTTATACCAGAATTCAGATAGCATACTAAAAGCTATCAATCTAAGTAGAAGTCTTGAGATGAACGCTCAGCCGGATGCATCACTGGAAGAAGCTGCTGCATACCAAGCTGATGAGCACTTGGATGGTCATTCAGCATTTTCTCATCCTCCTGCTTCGTTTGCTTATTCATGTGAGGCAAAATCCAGTGAAAACAAACAGATGATGTTTGCAGATGAGGACAATTTATCTGACTGTGAGCCAAGTTCTCCATTCTTTCAGTTTAAAGGGGAAATGATAGACAATGACTTATACGATTCTTCGGCACAAAGCTGCATGAAAGTGTTTCCAAGAACAAGCCGGTCTTTTATTTTAAGGCATCGACCTGTTCCAGAAATCCCAGATTCAAGTAAAGTTGAAACTTTATCAAGGTAACTTTTATTTCTTTTTAATGAAGAATCGCTGCTATCATATAAGTTATGGTTGGGGTTTTTTACGTCTTTTTTTGTAGGTTTTTTTCCTCTTGTGCTGCAGGCAGACTGTATATGAAATGAATGCAGCCAAATTAACCAAAAAGGATTAAGCTTCAATGCCAGTTAAAAGTGCAAATGGGAGTATAAAAGGAAACTTATTGTAGAACAGTCTCCTTACAATCCCTCTTCATCATCTCAGCATCTACTTCTGAACTTATTTTCAAAGGCAGGAATCTTTTTTTGCTTTAGAAATAGCTCATGTTAAGCACATAACTGTATCAAACACTTTTGAAACTGAATCAATACGATCCTAGACGGGGTTGAATGAAAATTGTAAAACAAGACTGAAAAATAACAGAAAAGGCTGTTCCATCTATTCCAAACCAAGTCATTACTACTAATATTATCTAGACACCAGCCCCAATGTAGCTAATAAAATTCTGATCCATGAGAGGAAACAAAATCAGAATTTCAGCAGAGCTAAAAATTCACCTTGAAGTATAATATCTGGTTTTGATTGTTAGGCATCAGTTGTATTTGTGAGACACAAGTACTCAGATTATATTATAGTATATTTTAAGGTTATATCTTTTAAGAGATGTTGTTCTTGAAAATACATGTTTAATATTATTGTATTTATTTAATTTATAAGAAAGATTTAGGAAATTGTACCAAACTATATTAATAAATGTAGTTGTATTTGAAAAGTGAATCAAAGTTTAGAAAATTCTTCTTGTCTCTTTTGTGCATTATATGATATAGCAGGCCTATAAAGGGAGCAGGATTACCTAATATGATTACAGGCATGGGTATAACAAGACGATTAGATGAGAATGTTAAGTCTTAGCCGTAAAGCATGTGACTCTGCAGTGGAATGTTATTTAGATTGTTTTAAATTAGAATAGGATACTTCAAGGAGGAGGAAATTATACAGTGGGTCTAAAGTGAGGAGTTTTGTCAAGATGACTTAGACTTGTTTCTAAGCAGTATGTTATTTAACTGTTCAGAGAATGAATGCAGCAAGTTGGTAATGTGAAGTGATGACTTCTGCTGCTATTCTAATAGCAATGACAACTTAGCTTTTTATGATGCATGTATTATAAAAATATTTTTGAGGCATTCCAGCAGGAAAAAGGAAGTTTTTGGGGGGGAAATCCTAAAATTTAATTGGAATTTTGTAGGCCGAAACAAAGACACTTCATTTAAAGGACGTTCCGTTTGCCAAATTACGAAGGCCGTATGCGTAGGATAGAAGTTTCAGAGTTCCTGGGAATCTTTATAAGGATAATTTTATGCAGCACTGTTGAGAAATAGTATTGGAGACAGTCCAATAAGGTTTGTTATTTATGATACGTTCATGTGGTGTGGGTGTGGATTTTTCCCCCTTCAAAATGGTTGAGTTTGTAAGTTGAGTCCACAAATGAATGAATAACACTTACTGCCCTGAATAAAAATTAATTGTTGTAGCTTGTCTTTCAAAAAGATGATAAAAAGCAGAAGAAAAGGTCTAGTGTAAAACTCAACTCTAGGCCAATATTAATACATAATATTGATTGATGTTAAAAATAAGAGGCAGTGAATGTGCTGTTGATCACTATTATAGGCTGTATAAACAGAGTCTGCTTGTTGATTTATCTGTTATATTTTTGACAGATGTCAAAAATACTGACTGTAACGTTTTACTCATCATGCTGGGTAAGTCTCTTAAAAGAGAGAAGCGAAATTTATGGAAATAAATAAGCAAATTTTTGTCAGCGTAGCCCTGTCCAAGTCATTAGTCTGCACCTTTTTTGCCTTTTTTTTTTTTTTTTAAAATCCACTGGCTATGCCCAGAAGGGACATGTCTAAGAATGTTTTGTATTTATCTTGTGCTTTTTCACTGCATATCTCGGCAGTTAGAAACATCATTAACGAGTTTCTACTTGCCTTAAATGCAGACTTTTCCTAAGCATTTTAATATTGTTCTTGTTAGTTTCTTCTAGATTGTTGAAGTAAGTTAATACTAAATATTGTAATATAATTGTTTCATTGAACAGATGGAGAGGCAAAGGTTCTTTGCAACAATTAAGACATTTTTGTGTGCCTTAATTTAAAAATGTTTCATCAATTTCTTCTTAAAATATGAAAAAATTGTACTTATTGAAACTGAAAAACAGATATCTTCCAGCTGGGACTAGCTTTATGTTAATGTTTGGTGGAGTGGTTATTCCTACTTCATACAATAACACTGTTCTTGCTGATCTGAAGTGGGAATCTAGTGCTAAAATATAACAATAAGTGGCTACTAAAAGTATACTCTTATCTCTTTCGAGCAACGGTCATTCAATAGAGGGAATATGCTGTATTTGTAGTGTTCCCACCACTGAAGTAAATCCCCCAAACCCCAGGCTTTTGTTGACTGATGTATGGCTAGGTCACTAACTCCCTTACCCACCATTTTGATTTGCTAACTCCCGCTTATTTTCTTCATCTTTATACTCCAGTTATAGCAGTGTAGAAATCCTGAAGGACGAGCAGGCGTCTGTCTGAGGGAGATCAAGGCTCAGTCAGAACTTCAAAACCGAACGTAAACTTCACCGAAACATTCTTGATTAACTTTGCCTGGTATTTTTTTTTTCTAGACAGAGAATTAACACAAAACTTTAAAGTGGCGCCTCGCAGCATCCTTATCCTTAAGAAAGTTCATGTCTGTCCCATAGAATTGCATAGAAAAATATTCTCATCCAACTGTCATTGACAGACGCTGGCTTCATCCTTATTATGTTGTGTGAATGCTTTTCCAAAGGGGAAGAGAAATCCAGCTGAAATCTACTGGGAAACTCAGCATTTGCTTCTAGTCATGCGTGGATATTAGTCATTAATTTTTATGCAAGGAGATGCATTTCTCATGATCTCCTAAGTGCCTTCTGGCACAAAAGGTTCTAGTGTGGATCTCCTTCTGCCCCCTAGCAGTGCGGTGACCATGTCACTTCTTATTACTGATAATGTGCTTGCCTCCCTTGCAATTACATGTGCTTCGCTGTGCCTCACTTGTGCTCCTGGCTCTTGTCTGCAACAAAACGTGCTGTCAGCCCATAAGACACCATGGCTTTTAGAGGTTGGAAATATTTTGATTTTCTTTTTTCTTTGAAGTATATTTGGCTTCACTGTAGTAGTGAGGGATGGAGAATGATTAAAAAAAAATCAGAGAGGTGATCAGTATGGGGAGTTTTCAAGGCTTTGGATGCTCTCTTGGAGCTCTCGTTTGGCAACTGCAGTTAGGTGAAGTTGCTACAGTTGCACCGCACAGAGCAGCAATCTCTTTAAAGGAAAACTTTAAGCAGATTTATCAGATGGTAGATGTGATTGTTGTACAGAATACTACACAGATGAAATTTCAGACTGACAAACTCCATATACTTTTAGATTTCTCATATTCCCCAGCTTTAAGTTATTTGTATCATTCAGTCGTGGGATTGCTCTGGGTATTCGTTAAAAGAAGTAAAGAAGGAAATTAACCAAAAGTAAATTCTGAAAAAATACTGCTTTAAAAAAAAAAAAGGGGGGGAGGGGAGTGGGTGGGGAGAAACCAGTTTGGCCTGAGCAGGAGCTGTCCGTTCTCTGCAACTGGTAAGTCCTAAGGATGAAACTTCTCACTGCTGATGCTCTTTAGACTCTGTTCCTTTACACATAAGTGGTCAAGAGTACTAGTGGGGTGCCAGAGCTGGTGCTGCCAGGTCTTCTGACTCTTGGTTTTTGTGAAGCAAAGCAGTTTTTTAAGGGGGAGGACTTGCTCTATCTTTTTTTCCTACGACCAAGCATTTGCATTAGTTTACCTTTGCAAGCAGTCTCTGAAACCTAAAGCTTAAATACAGCATGCTGGAGCAGTTCTGACATGTTTCTGTTACAGCATGGTGAATTGGGGTGATCTGGAGCTGGGTAGAAAAGAAAACACGTTTTCAATGAGTTTGAAAAGGAAAGTGTCATTTGCCTAAGACAGTCTGCAAATGACTGCCATTAAAGGCTTGGAACAACTACTTGCTCTGAACTCTCTCCCTTACTTTATTTGGGAGGTGGCAGGAATATATTGACTGGAAGAACTCAGCCCAGCCAAGTACTAAGCTCTCACCCTTCCAGTCTCTCAGTCTTTAGCAAGACCAGTTGCTGCTCGCTGCACCCTTTCATCCTGTTTATGCATCAGGGCAGAGTGGTGGGGTGAGCGACATCCTGTACCCTATATATGAAAATAGTGGGCCTTATTCTCCACAATGATAGTAGAGTCATAATTTAATTGAAATTATTATTATACCTTTGTAAAATTGACACTTGGCAAACTTCTTGTGTTTACATTCCTGTAAAAAGCAAAATAGAAGAGAACGGTAATCTCAAGGGGCATTACGTTTTGGAAATGGTCACAGTCATATATTTGTGTAGATTTTTCAATAAGATTTTTAAATCCTATTTGCCCTCAAATAAATATTTTTCCACCTTTTAACCAGGAATGCAGTTCGTGCAGTAGTTGAGCACTGACAAAAGATTATTATTTTATCTTGCACTGTATGCTGTTTGTTATGCTTACTTTATGTCAAAGAGATATTCAATACAGGCTTGTTCTATTGATTTTATTTCTTGAGAGAATTTTTACTTGGCATGAATTAGAACTTTGTTTTCCAAAACTCCCTAATGGATTTTATTTTTGATTGCTTGGAAAAAAAAGACTACAGTTTGCTTATTAGCAGGATTCCTTATCATATATGGAATACACACATGTATGTAAATTATAAAACAAAATACACAGTTTCTGAAAAATAAATGAATAAAAAAGAACGCAGATCTTTGTAAGCTTATTTGTTATTTTTCCTTTCCTGGTGAATTTATGATTATTATTGACTTATTGACTAATACCATTGCTCACTTTTTAAATCCTTCCACCCTGAAACTAAGACAGTGACTCACTCTTTTATATAAGAAAGAAAACATCAGTTAAAGAGCTCTTTAAATCAAAGTTGCTTATCTGTATCTCTCTAACTTATGTTAATGTTATTAATATCCTTAAAAAAAAATAACAATCCTATCCGGTCTATGTAGGAAATATGTTAAAGTGTTTTTTCTTTTAGATATACTAGGTTATTTAAAATTGGCTCAGTGTAAATGCATAAAGTTCACTACTGCAGTTTCAAAGGATGTAGCTACAACAATTTTAGTAAAATGTATGAAGAGATATAGACTTTTAAAATGTTTGCTGTATTTTTTGGTAACTATAACTTGGGAAAGTAAAGAAATAGCTGTTGTATTGGAGCTCAGCTGTTATCTCCTCAGCTGGGCAAACTGATCCTTTATTTCCTAAAATCAGGACTTCACGAAGTACCATTGGGAAACTTAATTGATATAACCTGGATGACTTTGGAGATGTCAAGTAACATTATAAAGTGTAGCTTCCTTCTTGAATTTAACCTAATAATTCATTTGGGGCAGGTTTAGGCATGCGTTTGTATCATTAAAAAATGCTAATGATAAAAAAAATGGGAGTTCAGAAACATGTGCCTTCCATCACAGAGAAACATCAGCCCATAACAGGAAATAATTCAGCTTGGACTTCTTCATGTTTTGTGTTTTTGAAGTTTTGAGTATAGGTGATCTTAATAGGATAAAATTTGTCAATATATCTACTGGGGAAACAGAAATTAGTAATATTGGTATTTTTGGTAAAAATGTTGATCTTTATGGTTTTGAAGGATGGAGGATATGTGGATTTTTAGCAAAAACTTGCAGATTTTTGTATAGCACTTGCCAATCAGTGAATACTTTTGAAGGATAGATAAGGATCTGTGTCGCTGTTATTTCAAGCAGGGAAAATGAAGCACAGAGGAGTTATTCATGTTAACAGGGCAAATCAGAGCTTGGATGAAAACATCTCTAACACAGATAATTGTGTAGTAAAGATGGGTTAGAACCATTCTACCTCAGACATATTTCTTCGTGTTTGATAACGCTTCTGCTTCGGCCTGAGAACTCAATAATGATAATAAAAAAGTGATTTTTAGCAGCATGAAGTATGCAATTGCTGAAACACTCAGAGGCCAGCACAACAGCAATTATACAATCATTTTTCTAATGTGTAGGGGGATATACTCTCATCCATCTGCAAAATGTGAAATGGTAGTCTCAGGCAATTGCAAAGCAATTTCATATGTGTCTCAAATTGAAAAACTTTCTGGAAGAGAAAATCATCTTTGGGATTCAAGACTTCTCAGGAATTTTTTTTTCAGTGACTCAAAGTATCTGTTTTGTGTCACTTGTTGCCTCCAGATGCTTGTAACCTCTCGGAGTTTTTAGTAACTATAATATTAGGAGTTACTGCTTTCACTTTTAAAGTGTAATTCTGTGCTTGCTGGATTGCCATCCCCAGGTTTCTTTTGAATTTGATGTTAGAGGCTGACTTGCATTGTAAACTATTCTTTAAATATGGTCATTACGAGTCAATATGTGGGAGAAGTGAGGGTAAAGGTGGGAGAAGAATGGGGGGCCAATTCAAAGCCAAAGGAAAAAGTCCCAAGATTTATGTTTGAATCAATGAGGTGTATGTTGTATGAAAAGGAGGAAAACAAGTTGTTGGGTAACTTTTTAATTTAATCAGAAGACTTTCCAAGATGTAAAATTGACTGTTTTTATATTTGCATATGATTTTAATAGTTAACCTGCCTAAGATGTTTTTGGTCTGTTTCTGGGAAATTTCACTTAATATTTTCATATTGTGTTTTATTTTATTCAAGTTCCCTTCAGAAAAGAAGAAATGTGGATCTTTTGAATATAGCTGGAAGACAGATTTCCCAGAAGAGTGAGTCAAGCATGCTGATATTTACATCTTGACTATTGAGCAAAAAGAAACCTCAGACCAAAAGTTGTCTCAAATAAGTATTGATCTGCTTATTTTCTTTTTTTAGCAAAACTGGGGATCTGGAAAGGCTGAAAACAGTAATGTTTGTAATGGCGGAGCATTTAACCACCTCTGCGTTTTTACCGAGATGGGCTTATTGAACTAAAAGAATGAAAATTAGAAAATGCAGGGTTTAAACCCCATTTACTTTAACATACTTTTTTGGAGTAGAGTATATTGAGTTTATAAGATTAGATGCAGATGTTTTTAAGCAGAATTATCGTTGTATTAAAATATGTAAAGAAAATATTCCATTTTAAATACTATTTAATTTGTTAGTAAGGCTCAAAGTTCAGTGAAATAATAGGAAATTAATAGTCTACCAGAAGAGGTTAAAAGTCTTGTTCAGTCAGTTGTAAACAGAAATTCTTTTGTACTCTCGAAGGAGGTCTTGTTTAAACTTACACACGTTAATTTCAAGAAAATGCTTTGTGCCAAAATTAAAATTGTGCAGAAATTTAGTTTAAAAAAAAAAAGTTAAAAATAAAGGACTCTATTGCTCTGAAGAGTATGCAACAGAACTTTTTTTTTAACTTATTGCAGAGTAGAAAAGAATAAAATTTATATATGCAAGTTATATCCAAATTACTTACTTTTCAGAAGACAGACTAAATTGGGAGAAAATAGTAAGGAAAAACATCAGAGAAAAAAGTGTCTGGATTTCAGTTAAAAATGAGAAATTGTTTCTTGTTCTTCCTAATTCTGTCTGTATCTAGACATATTCTGTGCCTTCCTGTGGAAGGAGCTTCAACTAGACCTGGGATTGTTTTAGACATACTCTACTTCCTGCATCACATTGTTTCTAGGAATATTCAGCTTTATTTGTTTATAAAATGAAAATTCTATAAAGGCTTTTGACAAAACCTCCCTCCTTTGTAGGGCATTATTAGAGTTTTGAGGGATAAGTGATTTTTGTCATTTTCATGAAAAAGGAATGTTCCACATGCTAACTTGCATTAAAAGATTTAATTAGCTTACAGAATTGATCAGACTTTGTAGGTCAACTGTTCATCAATTTCAGAAAAGAAACATTTATTTTTTCTGAGGGGGACAGAGAAATCGCAACCAGAAAAGTCTGCGTTCCATGTTGATTTTTATAATGCAATACCTTGTTAAAGTATTGATTTGACTCTGTAGGTATGTATGTATTTATTTAGTTTATTGTTATATATATTATATATGAAACTATATCAAGTATATGAATATATATGCATATATTTTATATAAAAACACATATATTATTATTATTATTTTATTTGTTTTAAGAAACTTTCACAGAAGAAAAGCCACCCATCATCTCTCCATATGGAGAAACGTTTTTTTGCAACAATCCTCAAGATGCTAAAGTAAGTTGAGAAGCCCAGATGCAAATGATCTATCTTCATGTTATATATTGCCCTAAACTCTCTTTTCCGCTCCTCTTTTTTTTTTTTTCAGTTCTCAGTACCTTTTCTATCCTGTCAAGCACATGCACAAGAGTTGTAGCATACCTGTTTGTAGACTAGTGACTTTTTTTAAATCTTGAGATATACTTTGTACTGTTTGGTAGTAGTCGGAAGCTGTGGGATTTTGTGCTTTTCTCGTTTTAAAAGAACGTAGACAGGTAACTGACCCTATTCCACCTGCATCTAGATGCTGCGCTCTGAAATGTGAAACAGTTAAAGGCAAGTTCTTAAATGAGGTTAAGTGGTGGTTAACCATTAGAACTGACTGATAAAGACCGAAGTGGCTTTTCTCTCTTTTCATAACTGCAGATCTAGAGTGGTCATCTTCACAAAGGTTTGTGGGCATCCTATGACAGCAGCTTATGTGTTACCTTAGATGATCTCACAATCACTTTGTCTATATGCTTTTTAAATTGTCCTTTATGAAAGTTCTCTAGGACTCAGGCTAGAAAAAGTTTTTAGCCTTCTTGTTACTTCTTAGCATTATTCTGTATTTTTTTAAAATGTTTGGTAATAATAAGGCACACCCAGAAAGGTTGTCAGCCGTTTTTCTTGTCTTACCAAGGCACCAAACGCAAAAATACCATACCATTAAACAAGATTAGCTGCTTGAAATAGAATTATTTTTGCTGGTAGTTGGATCTCAATTAATGTAATATTTTACAACATGCTTTCTCTGATCTGAAGATTTTGATTTTAATTATCACTTTCATGAAAGTAAACATTTTTTTCAAGTTATATTTATAACATGCCTTTTGGAAACTTCACAGTTAACTTCAGTTCCATTAGGTCATTGTCAGACCTTATGACATCAGATAAAGGTCATAAAGAAAGCAGTAAAACGAAGGTCCTGAGATGTATTTCACTTTCACATTTTTTTTCAGTAGGTATCAACTATCCTAGGCACAAATAAACAAATTTAGATAACGTTGTAAAGTATCTGAGATGTTAGTACTTGTGACTGTGTCTTCATTTTTTTTTAATAACCTGATTTGAGAATATAGTTTATACATACATAATAAAATATAGCAAATTGTTCAGCTACTGGATAAAGTTTGTTCTAAGTGGTTAGAAGCTGGCCACTAACATTCTTCCTGTTGTGTTGGTGTAGAGAAGAAAAGGCTGTATTTTATAAGGGAGTGTCTGTTGAAACTTCAAGTAGTGAGTCACTAAAGACTTGAGGTAAGTCAACATAAGGGAACAGGGAATTAAGGCTATAAAGAAAACAGGTCTTTGCCTTTAGTCAGGAGGGAAGATAGCTGGAAGCAGAAACCTCTAAAGAGCAAACTGAAGAAGAAACAGGTTTATATATTGATTAAACAGTAGCACAAATAATACATAATGATAAGCAATTAATTTTTCAGAGGTGATTTCTTATCATGGCCAGCTGAAGAACCAAATATATTAGAGTACAGCTTTTCTGTGAAGGAATTCTGATGAGTTGAGGCCTGTAGAGTGAAGTGTTGGCTTTATTTCTTACCGTAGACAGTCAGACTAAATTAGATGTGCCTACTGAGGTCAGTAGTCTATGTGAGCTCCTATGCATTGTGGTACTGTGGAATTCTAGCCAGAGAGCAAATCTTGAAACTTTAAAATAAGAACTCTTAATATTTTAAAGGAAAGAATTTTTACCTTTATGGCCGTGTTATGAAAACGTATTGCCTAACCATATTTCAAGAATCAAACGGAGGGGGGGTTGTCACATTAGCTTTAATAAAAGAAACTAAGCCAATATCTCTTTAATTAAAAGATGCCTGTCCAGAACGGCATCAAGTCCTTACATACTGTGCCCTGAGTCCCAAAACTCTGCAATGCAAGAAGAGAGTTGTGCTTCTTGGAAGTCAGGTTTCTTGACTAGCCGTTATGATTGGAAAGGCTAGCTGATAGGAAAAGCTAAAAACAAAACATATCAGAATTACTTCCCCATTCAACGTAGAGGTGTTCTGTTCAGGACTGCAAGCAGCTTGTTCCATCTACCTGGGTTTTAGATACCCCGTTTCTTCCTTGAGGATATGTGCTTCCTATATATATCTAGAGAGACAGTATATCTTTTAAGAAATTCTTCTCTGTTTAAAGGTGTTTGCAGGAGAAAATGCTGCTGTTACCTGTCTTTTATGTAATGCTTTAGAGACTTCTAGGAGGTGGGAGATGGGAATTCTATCTTGTCTTTAGCCTGAGCACCTTGCAGAGTAATCCTGTAACCACCAGGTGGGGTGTGTTTCGGTTTTAATTTGAGTGGAATCTGTGTTTTTGTGGGAAAAAAAACAACAAAAAAAACCTCAGAATTTCCCCTCCCCACAACCTGTCTTTATGGACTTCTAAATTTTAAAAGATACTATCAATAAAAATGCTTTTCTTGATTACTGCTCAGAAGTTTGCAGGCTTCCTGAATTCCCTTGGCCAGGTATTGAAGGTTGCTGAAGGAGCACAGGCAGGACATAGGAGGGGTATGATAGTTCTGTGGGGCGTCAGGTTCTGTGGAGGTGAGAGGGAGGAGGAGAGGAGCACAGCTTCAGCAGTGTGGTAGGAGGGTTCATCCATCCAACCGTCAATTGTATCCTAATCAGCAGATGAAAGATCCTAAACGTTTTTGCCTAATCTAAAGATATACTTTATGAATTAGTCTTCTGGCGATTGCATAGAAGTGGAGCGCTGCCACATTACCTCCTTTTGTGCGATTCCAGTCAGTGCAAGCATTTGATAAACAGTAGACATTTTGCTTTTGAGTTTACTGTTTAGTTTGTTTGAAAATTTTTTTGTTTTGTTTTTTAGTCTAATTCTTGGAACTATGATATAGCAAAATATTTTTTTTCTTTCAAGTATCTGACTGGCAGAGGAAGCCAAAATGTTCCCCTAGGATTACCCTCTCAGCAGCCTGTGATTTCTGGAATTTTTGCTGTAGTTACACATATTCAGCTTTTGGCTCTGTTCTTTTTTAAGTCTGTCTTTTCATGTTGCCAGAGTACATCCCTCGGGTGTAAGATGTGGTACTGTTTCTCAGAAAACAAATGGCAACAGTTGTGAAAGTTTATCCACTTTTTTTTGCCAACCTTCAGCTCATGACATGTACTTCAAAGCTTAAATGAGTACATTAAAATGCTTCCATCATAAAGCATGAAGCTGTTCATTGTAGTTTGATTTTTCTAGAGGAAGAAAAATGAGTATTGAGTGAGAAGCTTAGTAATGCGTTATGATTGACAAAACAAATTTAGTAAATGCAAAATGTTGTGTTCTTGAACAGTGTTAACCTGCATTTTGTACACTGAGCAGTTTATGATAAAGATTTCTAAACAAACATTAATAAAAATAAAAAAGACCCTGTGCCTTTTAGGAAGAAGAGGTTGTCAAGAAAATGCCAGATATATTTGATATGACAGAATTCAGTAATGCTGTAAGAATTTGAATTTATCATTTACTTTATTTTTAGTGTACTCTGAAGGCTGTATGTTTAATCCAGAAAACAACTATTGACATGAAAGATAGGCTAATGGTGGTATATTAATAATGGTATACTTCACATATTTTCAGCACATGGCTGTTGACCTTAGAAAATTTCAGTGTAAAAATAATATTCATTGTACTTGCAAAAAAAAAAAAAACAAACCTCCTAGTACTTCCATGCACTGCATTTCTTCCTCTAATTTGTCTGCAGCAGGTATTTTGGACTTCACTCAAAAGTTTCTGTTTTTGTTTATCTGAATATTATTTTTTTAAATGGAAATACTGAAAATAACATTTCTTAAAATATTATTTAAAACATCTTTCAAAAATGCATATCAGTTTAAAACACAGTAAAGAATAGCTTTTCTAGTTGGAGCATTTGTGAGTGATGTATATCTGCAGTAATTTTAACATCATTTAGTCTTTCAGTACAAATGTTTGTTGGAATATATTTCTACTTTCTAGGAACTTCATGGAAGTGAATTCCTGGATTATGAAAATAAATTGGATCTAGAAATGAATGAAGAACACTCTTCTCACAAGGATCTACGGTATTAATTAAAAGTTAAAGAGAAAATTTAAATTTCAGGGAGGAAAATGGTCTTTATTGATATCTCATGGTAGATCCCTACCTCTGAAAGGCACAGCCATTAGTGTATTTTCTTCTGTTTGAACCCTCACCCCATGCCATAGGAGGTGAGGTTTGGTTCTGTGGCCGTCTAACCCAGGTTTCAGAATTTTGGGAGGAACTGGGAGGAGTTCTTATAGATCTTTTTGCCAGTCAGAACAAAGAAGACAACATGTTTTATTTTTGGATGTCTCCTAAATAACTGTGTCTGAATACTTTTTTACTCTGCCTCCTTCCAGCCATTCTCTGAACAAAATCGTCCTCTACTCCTGTCATATGGCAGTGGCCAGTGGTTTGAGCAAATGGGAGGTATCAGCTCATATCCTCCTTAAGTTTTGAGTCTGTACCTGGCCCTGTTGAAGGGAAGAGAATGCTGAAACTGCAAGCCCCCCAAACCTGTAAAATAAATCTAATTTTCCAAGGAAGGAAAATTAATTTTGAAGTTCTGTAATATTCAGGCCTATAAAGGAACCAGCAAGTGTTGCCTTTCTACCAGTTCTACTGATTGGAGAAAGTGGGATTTGGTTATGGTCATAATTAAAATACATACAATGTTTAGCATTGGTCTGTGGTTATTGCAAAAGTAAAATGTAATAAATGTATTCTAAGAATAATTGTCCTAATTATTAGTTTTATTTGTTTGTGCATTTTAGCAATACGTTAAGAGCAGAATGCATTTTTTCTTTGTAGTTCCCTTAGTAATCAAGAAGAGAAGACAAAGGACTGTGTGAAAAATGAAGGTCTGTCTCAGGAGAACAAACCGCTGGTACCAGAAGAACCTGAAGGTGAATCTGTTTATTCTATTGTGGAACAACGTTCTTTGCCTTTAAAGAAAAAGAAAAAGAAAGCCAAACCCCATTCGTCGTCATGTAGTAAAATCCACAGTGGAGATATGAACTTCTTGGTCAGTGAACAGATGCGTTTTTGGACATTTGATGGAGATCCAACTTCGATTGCAAATGAGTCAATAACACCATATGCTTGTTTTTATGGACCATCAGCAAAGAAGGTTAAAGCAGGATGGCTGGATAAATTATCCCCTCAAGGGTATGGTATTTGTTATGATTTCTATATAATTACGAAGGTGTATGTTTCCCTTAGAGATATTAGGTCTCTTTATGGTCACTGCTTGCTTTTAGAGGAAGAATTAAGTTTGGTGGGAAATGGAAGGGAACTATTTTTGTTGCAAGAGTGCAGAGTTATTCTTCTGAATTCTTCTCAATTTTTAATAATATATTGCCCATTCTGAAGTTTATTTAGTAAGTGTACTTAGGAAAAATATTTGTATTAAAAATGTGGATCCCTGCTCTTATGCTGTAGAGTAAATATAGAGAGTTAATTCCTAGTAACATTTCCAATGTGTATTTTTTTACTGCTTCTCTATGGACCACGAAGTAAGAGAAAACAAACTCCGATTCTGAAATACTACTTTACAAGTTTGGCCACAAATATAAATGAATGATGTCCTTGACAAGAGACCCTTTTGGGTTCCAGAGCTGTTCAGTCTCATATGAATCTGTAAGTTGAACCTTGAGTGTAGAAGAGCATCTAGAATGAACAGTCTTCAGGTTTAGTTTATTGAGGTGCCTCCATAGGAGGAGTCTGAGTCCAGGTCATGTTTTTAAGATTTCAGGTAATAAAGAGGCCATCCTATTTGTAGGTAAAAAATTCTAATGGCTCTGACTGTTTAAAAAGGTTTTTTTAGTTGCTTTAATTTAACCAACTTTAAATTTCAGCTCTTCTTATGATCTTTATGCTAAAGAGGTCCCTATTATCAGATCTTTGCTTCGTAAATACTTGTAAACTCCGATGAAATTATTCTAACCTCCTCCTTAATTAATTGAGCAGACTATTCTTCACTTTAAATGTTTCCAGTTCTCTGACTGTTCTTATGACTTTCTTTGAAGCTTCTCACATATTGTCAGTGCTGTAATACATTTTTTTTTTTGTCACTCTAGCTTCTTTTCTTCCTTTCCTCTTAGTAGTTCTTAGTAGTCTTAGTAGTTCTGCATTCTTTATTCTTAGGGCTATATGTTTGGCTATATTTAAAAGTAATATTAAAAAGTTTGGCCTTTCATTATTTGTGGCTATAATAATCAGCATTACTCTTCATCTATGCTTATTTTTACAGTAATTGCTTCAAAGTCTTTTTGGGTTAGTGATAAAGTTATTGAATAGTATTGGCTGAGATTCCATTTCTGGTTTTGACCCCACTGGTAGAGGTTCTGTTGCATGGCAATTCCCACTTTTGTGATTACTTTAACAGTTCTGAATTACCAAATTCTAATTCCTTTAATTTTGGCTTTGTTTATACTAGATACTGTGTTGCGTTGTTCAAGCAGAATATCAAGGAGGACTATATTTGGTTTGATAAACCTGTTTTGCAATATGGAATTTTAATCTGCTCAAACAACATCAAATTTTTTTCATCCGTTTCTAACTTCAATAGATTGTCACTATCACCAATAAAGAATCAAAGATTAATTTCGTGTAGAGTCAAAAGACTTTTTGCAGTGATACACATTTACATTACTTATTCAGAATTTATGCTGAATGTATTAATTTTAGTTTTACTTTAGCTTTAACTTTATTTTACTTCACTTACAGGCCTCTTTCATTATATATATATATTTTTTACATACCTTTGACAGTTAGATGATAGAATGATGTATAACACAGTTGTAGATCCAGCTGGCTTCTGGTGCTGTTAGAAACAATAGAGTTAAGAGCAGAGGGTGAAGGCTTTAGATACAGTACCCTGTGAGAATGCATCATTTTCAAAAGATAGGGAGTTTACCACAAAATTAATATTTAGCAGGAGTGTTTAGAACAGTTACAGTGTAATTAGCCTTGAACCAGTGAGATTCTCTGGTTAAATTTCAATGACTTGTTCTTAAATATGCTTTAATAAATGGAATTTTTTGTTTGTTCTCTCTCCCACAGTACCATTTCTCAGATATCAGAAAACTGATTTTTCTTAAATGAACATACAAAGAAAACAGAACAATGAATTATTCATCCATTAAAACCATGCCATGTTTTATTTAAATCCATGCCAACTGAAAATTTGTCTTGTTTCTTTTCCTGAGGTGTGGGTGTGGGTGTGTGTGGTTTGTTTTTTTTTTTTTTTTTAAAACCCCCTTATTTACACTTGACACTTTGTATCCTCTCAGGGGAAGGAAGATACATCTTTTGAAACCGTTTCCTTAAATTCCTGCAAATTGTGCATTTAAAATACAGCTTCTCTTATTAGTTGGTCACTATACATTTTAAAGCCATTCAGCTCATTCACGTGGTATGTGAGGCTAAGTTCACTTTTCTCTGTATCATCTTGAAGTTCAATGACGTTTTAATGGAAACTAGGCATTACGTTAGCCTTTCCAGTTTAAGAAAAAATATGATTTGTTATTGTCATATAATACAAGTCAATTAACCCAGAGCTGCTATTTAATTAAAGGTTTGATAAACTATCTCAGTCTACTAATCCTAAAGCAGAGCACTCATTTAACATAAAGGAAATGATGTTGGGAAAAGAGATGTTAGAGTAGGGTCTTGTTCTTGCTTAATTAACTGTTTAATTTATTTTAGAATTGAAACTCTTACATAGATGATAACTAATAGGCTGTCAACATGTTTAATGAGCACAATAAACTACTTAAGGTTCATGTAAAATAATTTTTTTTAAGGCGGTCCTTATAGAGTGAGTTAACAACAAAACAGATAATGAAATGCGCTTCTCATTAATGATCTCCAGCAGATAGCACAGAAAGAAAATGAAGCTTTATGTTGTACTTGGTGGTCACATGAGATCATTCAACATTTATTGGTTGGCCTGAGATGAAGAGGGAAGAGAGGGTGCAGAAGAGGCTGATGACAGAAGATATCATAGCCTATAAACAGAGATGTCCTTCTCACGACACATGTTAATGAAATAGCCATTTTGACTCAACTTTTCCTTTTTGGAGAATATTTTACAGAGCATGCATCTCTTAAAGGTATGCTCTGTGTTCAGAGTTTTCCTCTGCCTCCAAGAAAAACAGCCTGTCCTCATCCCTTATACCTGTTAGTTTCCAAGTATTTCTTGTGCTTTTTGGGAGAGAGGCAGAAGACTTGAAAGTAGATGTAACTGGAGTTTCAGAAACACTTTTACTTCCACTGCAAGTTTATCAGCACAGATGAGGAATGATTCATTATGAGAGGAATAGGATCTTTCACTGAAATAACACCATTGCAGTGTCACATTGAGGCCAGTTAAGTCCTCTAGGTGAGTGAACTAAGTTGATTAGGGGGCTATGCCCTGCTGACCATATTGCTTTATAAACGTCTCCGATCTCTGGTGATGCTGATGTTTTGTATTCTAGACTCCCTCCCTAGGCCTTGGGGACTGTAAGCCGTACCAGAATGTTGCTTTAGCTAAGCTTTGTCTTCAGGGGTGGCACAAGAGATGTGAGGAAATAAGTCATGTAATTTCTGATCATTCACGAAACGCCTTTCTTTGTGTTTTAAAAGTCATTAATTGTTTATTCTAGTGAGCAACAATATTAAGTTACTGAGAGTTTCTTTCCTCATCGCTTCAAATGTGATATAGAGCACGTGGGGGACCCAGATTTCATAAAAATGTGGAAGACACTGATTTATAAAAGAAGTCTATTAGTATTGCACTTATTGTTTTTCCATGTTTACTATTTTTATTATATATGAAATCATTTCTGCAACTTTTGAAGAGATATAATAGGGTTAATATTTGTTTTAATTTTCTAAATGTTTAGGCTGAAATACAGTAAGTTAAAATGTGCTTTGACCTTTCTATGATTTGCACTTGAGGTGTTCTTACAAACTAGTGCAACGTGACATCATTGTAACTGTATTATTTTTTGATCCACAGCAAATGTGTGTTTCAGAAACGCTGGGTAAAGTTTGATGGAGACAGCATTTCCTATTACAATAATGAAAAGGTAAGTGACATGTATATGTTACAGAGACATTTTGTCCCAATCAACAGTACCATGAAGGAATTCAGAAATAATTACAAATGAATATTCATATTAGATATATTTCCCATTGCAAATATTAGGATGAGACATTATTAAATATTTTAAGGTATTCTTGAGATCTTAATTTATTGTTAATCCTCTTTTTCTTCCTGCTTCTGTTCCTGATCTTTTCAGTTAGATGTCATAAGAACTTCTTATCTTATTGAAGGGGGGAGAATGCTGAATTCTGTGAAATAGAACAGAATCATGCAAACCACGTTCAAGAGATGAAATGTTATATTGCTGGTGGCAGCAAACAGTCCTAACTTGTCATGGGAACCCAACACATTGGAATTTTTTGAAAGAAAGATTAAGCTTGGCATGGAACACTTTAAAACTGAAAAGAAGTACTCCTTTACTCTTTAATTAAAATGTTTCTTTTTCCTGCATATCTTCTAGAAAAAAACCATATAACATTAGACTAACTTGCATTTGAGTGCATCTGTTTAAAATCAGCATAGTGCTGTGATGTCAGTGACTGTTCTTTGCTTCTGTAGCTGCGGATTGATTCTTACCAGAAGTTTTGTCGTTACCTAGTTTAATTTGCAGGCTCAAAAGGCATACCTGCCTGCCTTGTCTAGTTTTAGAATGCCAGTTTGATTAAAGTAGTTCACTTTTGATATGTGATACTGAAATGCATTCGAAAATTGTGCCTTTCAACAAAAGCTGTATGTCCTCTATGAAAACAAGATTCGCAAAACACTTGTTTGACCTTTCAATACTACTTTTCACAATGAAAAATACGTTGTTCTTTTGGGACCTGCCTCTAAACCTTGCTTGCTTGCTTTTTTTTTTTTTCCTGATATATTTCCCATTTATCCTTTTGGATTTTTACTTTCTGTCTATTCAATACACCTGAGTTTGCTACGAAACATTTTTTCTGTTGCTGTGTGATTAATTCCCCTCATTTCTCCTCTTAGAAATAAAAAAGATCTTGTTAAGCTTAAAAGTGATAGATAGATAGATAGACATATGGAGTGCATGTTTGGTGAAGATGAGGTTAGATGCATGTATATTATTTGAAACACTGGAAGGCTTCCTGAAACACAGGAAACTTTCCTGTTGAAAATGCATAATAAGTAAGTTAGGAACAAGATACAATTTCCAGTAAAATTTCCTGAATATTATGCAGGGTGGCTGCAAACAGGAAGAGTTCTATAGATACTTTATAATATGCATACTCTTAAACCTGTTTGAGTAAATTATGAGGGGGAAAAAATAAAAGTAAGAAAAAGCTAATTATGTCCTGAAGGGCCAAGGAAATTAGTGACAAATTCAAAAAACTTGTTTTCCTTGATCCTCATTATGCCTTCTGATTAGGAACATGAGATAACCTGATCATATTTTCTTATTTAACTTCACTTACAGTAAAAGACATGATTGTGTATGTGAAGAGAACAATAGAGTAACATTGGGATTGGAGTGACAATGCGTGTTCATCCGAGAGCTTTAGAGGTGCAGAAAAGCAGGGTTAGTCCTTAAGAAAGACCTGGAGAATATAGCATTGGGATTTTTTTAACATTGTCTGTAGTGTAGTTGAGGAAAGACGTGCTGTTAAATCAAACTTTGTGTCTGCACGGAGGCTGTGGTGGTGGTAGTTGTTGTTCTTCTGTTGAAGGTAACTGAACACTTACCTTGAGGTTACTGACTCTAGCCTAGGACACTTTTGCATTCATCTGGCATGGAAGATCCCAGAAATATTCCCTCCTGTTTAGGAGAGTATTTAACATGGCGCAGGACCCAGAGGAGGTTACCATCCCTACCGCCCCTATATAAAAGGTTGAGGGGAAGGAGGGGGGACTGGCTATCAGAAGCTTGAAAAAGGCTTGGTTTAAGCCTCTCTGTGTCCGTTTTCTTGAAAGCTGAATACAAAACCTCACTCCTGGGATTTAAAGAGACACTGGTTGATCTGTGTGTACAATTTGACCATATCTGAGTGCCTGACTTCGTAACTTGATGAGTCACATGTTAAAATCTTCATATATCTGAGAACTGCAAGGCCTGAAGCAAACTGACAGCTGAGGATTTGGTAGAAACTCTTGGAGTAGTTTGCGGTTAGGACGAGAACGTATTTGTCTACCCGCAGTTCTCAGTGCAAAGTGGGACTGCGTTGGACTGAGCAGTGGTGTGATTGTGGGGCATGGAGTTCTTGTTCCAGTGATCTCTGCTAGATCACTCCTCCCATAGCCAGAGCACGTGCATTGCCTGGTAGATGGATACCACCACATTGCATTTGCGTGTGCGTTGTTACCTTGACACTGTAAGTAACCATTTGCAGGCTCTTCAAGACCTGCATGCAGCTCAGGAGCCAGCATTGCCTGTGCTGATAAAGGCAGGCGTAGTCATACGGTTCATTGCACAGGCAACGTATCTCTCCTCTGACTGATCTTAAACGCCTAGCTATTTTTAAATGGGGAAGCTGTTTTTTTAGCTTTTAGATTTTAATGACCAGATCCCTCTATTGTGGTGTATGTTTGTCCAGGAACATTCCTACACAAACAAGTTAGCACAATGCTTCCTTCAGAACTATTAGTTTCAAAAATCTCAATTAAAAATAGTTGTCAAAAAAAAATCAATCCTTACAGAGATATTGGCCTAATTATTACAAGGAGCGTTCAGAGAGAGAGGTAGACTGAATGGTTTAAAAGGGTGTTTATTTTACATAGAAACACTACCAATATTGAATCGCTCTATTTGTCACTTGAATTAGGAACTTGAGAGGAATGAAATTCTGAAGAAGGGGAGTTGTGCTGCATGGCTAATCAAGAGCGACGCGTGTGGAGGATGGGGAGGGTGGTATTCACGAAAACATGTATTTAGCCCATCATAACACTTCCCTGAGTGGTCTAAACCTTTCTCTAACTTTGATCTAGCAGCATGTCTCCTTTTAATCAGTGCAGATCTCTTCTTTCCTTTATACCTGCATATATGAAGAAAAATGTTCTCTTCCTACAAGCAGCGTCTGACCTAGGAACTGTTTTTGTTTGAATCACTGATGCTGCTCGTTTCTGATGTACACAGTCCTGAGTAAGATGATGTGGTCAGAGCAACGTCCTGTGTGGTTTTGTCTTTAACAGAATGTGGTAAACTGAAGCAAGAGCAAGCTCAAGAAAGGAAGATACGGTTTGAGAATTCTTTTCAGCTACTGAACATGCATAGCTTTTGCTTGGGAGTTCTTCCTGCATTTGGCAGAAGAACTCTGGTGCTATAAAGCACACTTAATAGTAAGGCAAAACTCCTATTTGTATTGATGCTTTCATTTAAAAACAATTTAGGAGCCCTGAGAAATATATTAGTGATTTAGAGAAAAGGAATTCTTATGTTTTGATGTGTTACGTTGCGTTTGCGCGTAACGAGGAATGAAATTCACTGGGGAAAGAGAGGAATCACTGTCATTCTTGAAATAGGTTGCAGAAAGAAAGCCAAAACAGTGCAAAACGGTGTTTTCCCGGGTCTTTTAGGCCAGCTGTGAAACATATCTGGCAAAGAAGGGCTTCACTGCACTATATTTGAAAATAAGCGTTTCCCTCAAAGCAGTTGATTGACAAGCCTAACTCTTTTTCAGAAGAAAATTGTTCTGCCAGAGAATTACTAACAGCTCAAAAACTCGTGCAGACATCTCTGTGTAGCAGAAGAAATGTCCGGTTTGGGTGTTTTTTCTTTTTTTTCCCTCTTTTTTATTTTTAAATAATTCAATAATTTAATAAATTCATCAATTTATTAATAATTATTAATTAATAATGTAATAATTTAAAAAATGTCTTGTCTGGAATATTTGAGAGAAATTCTCTCTTCATCAACAAGGGAGCTTGTAATAGTAGGCATTATTTCTTGCGTATGAAAGAGAAGCTGTTATAGAAAAGTAATTGAGAAATTATCATTGTTTAAACTCTGTTTGAAGATATATATGTATATACCTTGGAGAGTAAAGGTTTAAAAAGGTGAGGTGTTTAAATAGCAAAACCAAAACTATACTCAGCTTAAAAGGAAAGCCACTTTTTTTTAAAATAGGTAAAATAAAATAGCTATTACTTCTAGCAGTCTAAGGTATTCTCTTACAGTACCAAATACTGCCAGTAGATGCCTGCAAACACCATAATATAGTTATATCTGAACACATTTAGAAATAACATCTATAGTAAGAGTTTGTTTTGCTACTGCGAAGGATCAGTAGTTAATACGATATCTAACATTTTTAACAAATACAAAACGGCTGTGTTTACAATCTCTTTGAACAAGTTCAGCCTTAATGAAAATAGATACGTAATACTAAGACCATTCTGACTGACAGAGGGTAGTTTGTGGTGTAATTATAGCAGTGTTCACTTCAGCTTTTTTTTTTTTTTTTGATAAATTGCAGTTGTCTGAACAACATTCATCGATGCGTATTTATACCTAAAGGTGTAACATCATAAAAAGGTGAATAGTGTGAAAGAAATATATTGAACTCAGTAAACAGATGATATACCCTGTGCATCTTCCATGTTTAACCTTCACAGTGGTACCTTGAGTCCTTATATAAGCCTTATTATAATAATCTATACTTTAGAAAGGAAGCTGGTGCAATACAGACTCTTTATGGGGAGCTGACTGTTGGGCTATTACTGCATGTGAATCATAAATCTTAGCAGCATATCCGAGTTGTCTTAGCCAGAAAACCAATTGATCGAAGCATAGTAGGGGCAGGAGGAGCTATCTTAACTTTGGAATCAAGGAATTGTGCAGAAGTATTTCCAAGATGCTACCCTGGCAGTTTGAGCTTTCCTTTTTTTTAATATTTATCTATTTATTTATTTATTTAATATAGAACGCTTAGGTTGATTAGTTTAAAAGATGAGGAAGCAGGAGTATTACTAGGAGCGCTTTTAAAGGTTCTTGTAGTAATTTTACTAATTGGCTTTACTTTTCCGTTCAATTGTCCTGATTCCTCGTTGAAAAATAGAAAATGTGGAGAAAATTTGCTCAGGCACCAAATGATGTTTGTGAGGAATCGTTCTCCTCCCACCTCATATAGCAGAGAAGAACACATCAAGCCAAGCTAGAGGTTTCTCCTTGGTATTGACAGGGTAATGGATTTTTGCAGAGAACTGGTGATCCCTTTCAGTTCATAATTAGAGATAAAATGCTAAACGTTGTGGCAAGTAATGTGATGTTTAGAACAGATGAGAGAGATTTTTAATGTTCCATGAGAGTTATTAAACTATTTCTATTGTACTTTTATTATAGGAAGTGTTCTCTAAAGGAATAATACTGCTTTCTGCTATATCAACAATAAAAGTTCATGGGGAGAATAAATTTGAAGTTGTCACATCCCACAGGACGTTTGTCTTCCGGGTGGATAAAGAAGGTAAGTGGAATGCATGTGATTCTAATGATGACTGCTAGAAAGTCATGCTAGTAACTGCTGGTAAATTATGTTTGTGAAATATAATTTGTGAAGTCAAATTACCAGAAATATTTTTGGAAACCAGCTGTTTTAGGCTCATGAAGTGAGACCTGAGATAATTGTAAGCTTTGGAATAAAAATTATTTTTTAGATGCTCTAAATTAAATTATGGTCTAGGCACAGTGGAGATTGCTACCAAAATTCCAGGACTCCAGAGAGGCAAATTACAAATTTTTTTGAAGAAAAAGTGGAAATATTTTCCATCATCCAGAACTAATGGCCTCTCTCAGATTCTGTGGAGTGGTTGGATTAATGAAGCTCGGTTATTAACCCTAGTTCCTAGGATTTACCACTGAAATCGCCTTGAAGCAGATCAAGGATATTTCTCATTTCACTTCCATGCCTGGAACCTCTGTATTATGATTATAATAATAAAACAAATGCTTCTGTGGACACCATATTAAATAAAAGTTAATATTGAAAAGTCTCAAAGTTAATATTGAAATTTTCCATAAAAGGCCATTTATAAAATCTGTGCTCATGCAAAAGCACCTTCTCTGTGAAGTGTGATAGGTGTAGGCTAAACAGCTGTTTTATGCAGATTTTGCAACTTGCCTTTCGTACTGTCAAAGTACTGCCTTTCGTACTGTCAAAGTTGACGAATGTCAACTTGCCATTCGTACAATGCAAAATTTTCTTGAAATATTCTAGTAAGTTTAAAAGTTGTTAGACGGATAGACAGATATGCATATGTCAGTTCACACAATGTAATTGTGTTAAACCTGTTTCCTTAGGAACCCAGTCCAAAGTGGGTTGGCAAAGAGCATCAAAAAAACTCTATTGCACTGGTATTTGAAGGATCTAATTTATGATCTCCAGCATAATCATATTCTTTAAACTTTGATAGGCCTAATTTGTAGAAAATATACTTTGAAGGGCTGAATTTGTTGGAGAATGGCTTTTAAAAAATATCAAAATAAGAATGCTGTTTTCCGGCTCTTACCTCTTCCTCTGTCCTTCCTAAAGTGTTTTTTTTTTTTTTCTGGATATTCCTTGGCACTCACTAGTAGTACTTGTAGTCTGTGTGCTCTCAGCCATCTTCTCCGAGTCATTGCTTGATATAAAATTGACAAAGAGCAACAGTGAAGTTGATGGTTTGGATGTGATACTGTGACCAAAGAAAATCTGGATTTTTCTGGGTGTCTTTATTTACTGTCTTGTACAGTATTTTCAACCATGTGTTGATAGAGAATACAAATGTAAATGGGAAGTTCGTGTACCTTCTGATTTAATGCTTTATCAACCAACAGCTATGATATATAATATGTATAATATCTGGAATCAATATTAGTACATATATGATTTAACTTCTTTATGAAAATAATCAAATAAAATAGAATACCTAAGAAGTACTTAAAAGATATGCAATATGTATTTACAGCAGTACGTGCGAGTACCATTATAGCTTAGGTCTCTCTGCATTTCCATTATCCACTCCCGTTTTTATGGGTTACAGCTTGGTTGTAAACATTTGCTGTAGGCTGTAACAGGAATGCAGCATCAGTGAACAAATCCATCTTATCAGGTTTGGCTCAGATCATTTCAGACATTTTTATGTTGTTAGCTCAGTTTAAAAAGTAGGTCTATTTTATTATTTTTTGACTTTGTTTTCTTTTAAAATAGATTTTTTTAACACATTGGAACACAGCCTTAGTGCAATACATGAATTTTACAGGGCTGTCATTTGCTTTATGAACTGTTGCCTTTGATTACTATAAAAAACATTAACAACTTGTACTTATAAAGTATTTAGTACTGTGTATTCAGAACAGCCACTTGTTATATATGAAATTGTATTTTTATTTGGTATGTAACCCTCTTTGGACAGAGTGGCCTGTGTGTAAAGCTGTTCACTTAAGGTTAGAAATATATGTTGGACACGCAGTTTGGTCCTTACATTATTGAGTTCTGGATAATGTATTCACAGTAAATTATGTAAATAACTGTTTGCTTTCTGGTGTGTGCAAAAACTGTTACTTGATTCTAGTCCTTCTGTGAATTTATGGTTGCAAATTGTGCTGGGGCTATTCCAAGAGTATTTAAGTTCTATTCAAAGATTTAGAAATGGAGATTTTTATACATTACATGTGGACTTTATTTATTAACTTTCCTTCCAGGCTGCTATCTTTCTTCTCTTTAAACCATTCTCTGATGCTTACATTCATTTTTTTGTTCCTCCTTAATAACACACGTCACTTTAAGACGTAAATACATTATTGTTGTGATGCTATTCTTTGCAATAGTAGGAAGTGATTTTGTGAAATTTATAACTTTATAAATACTGTGAAGAGTTTTTTTTTTTTTTTAAGTGAGCTAATATATATATGTAGTCAAAGTTTCACAATGATTATTTGTGTATATCCAAGTATATTTCACTGCCTGAATCCTTCAGAGCAAAGAACTGGAATTTTCACAATGTTCCAATCACACGGACCAAGTCTAATATATTCAAATTATTCAGCATTAATATATAGTGTTCTTAATCTGATGAAACGTATGAACATAGTGAACTGAGTGGAACTTTATTACTTTGCCTACTTATGTTCCTAGATTTTAAGACGTTAAGTTAATAATGCCTGCAAGAGGTATTCAAACATTTGTTTTCCCGGTTACTCAGTTCCCTTAACAATGTGAAGCTTAACAGCTATACCTTAATGGACTAGATTGTAAACTGCCAAATGTTTTTGCATAAAACATGGCCAGACATAAAATAGTATTGGGGAATGGTTTGCCTCTTCAGTGACAGATAATATTTAGACTCTCCAGTGTTTGCTTGCATAACTTCTGTAGTTCTTTTCCATTGATCTTACTTCCAGAATGTGGACATTACACCTTTATGACCTCAGTCTTCAAGCTATCTGAGAGTAGGCATCTAAGCACTAGTCATCAAAATTTTAGAAATATTGATCATCAGTCGTATAGCTTTCAATTTACATGTTGATTGTTGGGAGTTAATGGAATGGATATTTTTTTCTAACATCTCTGCTGACATGGGCTCATGCTTCCCCCTCCTCCCCCCCACCTCCCATTCAAGGTGGATGTACACTCTGATCTGGTGGAGTTATTCCATACAGCAGCAAAACACAGTAAAAGAACAGGAAGACCAATATGGTAGAGAAGAATGGAGCTGCTGCTTAACATATAACCTGCCTTTGTCTAATTTTTTGTTGTTAGAAGAAAGGAATGACTGGGTTAATACGATGCTCAATGCCTTGAAATCGCAGTCTGATAAAAACTCTCAGTCCCGAACTTCTGTTGCCCCTGAGAAGTGTGGATATCTTGAACTGAAAGGATACAAAGCCAAAATCTTTATTCTGCTTCAGGGGAATACAGTGTGGATCTGCAAAAATGAACAGGTAAATTTTTTCATATGCTTTTTATGAATGAATGCTTATAAAGATGATTTAACTGGTGAGTTAGAAATTGATGGCTCTTAGTGAATAGGTACATTTCAATATAAATGCATATCTCTTTTTATGTAGTACTTTTATTGCTGCTATTCTCAGAAGGCTTCAAAAAGCAGGAGAGGTATCATTATGTCTACTGTACAATGGAAAAACTGAATATATACTGAGGTGAAGTGAAAAGCCCTGAGTGTCACAACAGGTTAGTGGCAGGGCTGCGATTAATTCACTCTTTAAGTACGTGTCATAAGCACTCTGCTAATTCAGAAGGCTTATTTTGTGCACTGGGTTCCCTATCCTCCTGTAATACAGTGCTCTAGTAAGTGCATTATTCAGAAGTACATTGTGATATTTAAATGATACTTCAGTTAAATGTTCAAAACTGCTGTTCTTTGTGTTTTTAAGAATCTCGATTGAGCAGTTTCTATTGTGCACTGTAATACTTTAAACAAATCCAATATTAAAAAAAAAACACATGAAGCAGATCTGTCAGTTCGATATATATATATATACACACTATATATATATATATATACTATATATATATGCAGGCACGAATATAGTATGATGTAATAATGTAGTTAACTGTGAAACTCCTTACCATAGGTTGCTGTGTATATAGGGGTTATATGGGATAATTGAGTTCAATGAAGAACTGAGCAAATCAGTGGGAAAAGATCTATTTGAGTGAAAGGTATTATTTCTGTGTAAGGAAATCATTGGCCCACAGATTGCTGGAGCCTGAGGGAGTATTTTGAGAAGCTTTAGTTTTATGCTTGCCTTGTTCTCATGCTCTTGTTTGGGGAAAGACAACAGTATGAGTACTGGATTTGTTAGGTCTTTCGTCTAACCCAATTTCACGTGCAATTCTTGGAGGAAAAAAGTAGTTCTGAAGTCACAGAAAGATTTGCTTTCTAGCAGGACCAGAGGGCAGGCCAAAGCAACCTGTATATGTTCTTTGCCCTTGCACGTTTTTGCTAAACTAGGGCTTATAATGCTGTACAGGCAATCTCATATTTCAAATGTGAATGATCTGACAGTAAGGTTTGTCATTTTTGTCTCCGTTTCCCTTCTGCTGTCACCTTCTTTATGAAACTATTCAGATAGATTAGGGGCCAACTTAATGTTTCAGCATTAGATCTTACTATTCTTTCCCAGGGCATGGTGGAAAGTTTGAGACTGAGAAAGAGTTTTTCTTTCTACTTGCTGTGCTCTAAGGGAGTTCAAGTCATTAGGTGCAGTCTTTGAGGTCAGTCAACAACCAACTGATCCGAAAATGTAGTGCAGTTTATGAACTTACTCTGCCTGTGGGATGACACAATAATGCTAAATATTACTGTGCTGCCACAGGGTTTTCAGATACTTCGTTGATGAGAATCCATGGCATATGCTAATTTTTTTCATTAATGAGAATCTACTGTTTGTGGGCACTTATTGTAAAGAGCTACTTTTGACTTAAGAATCAATACTATATTTATCTTATGCCCCTGAATACTTTTGAGGGCTCCCTTATGGAAGTGCTGAGTTGCTTGATTAAGGGACAAATATGGCACTTAAATGAGGAATGCAGGCTTAGCAGAGCAAATTCTCTTCCACAGGACTGTAGATCGTTTGAGACTGACCACGTGCCTCTTGAGAGTCTTAGTACGAGGCATCCAATTCCTGCTTTCTTTCTTCTTTCTTATTCTGCTTGTGTATAACCGTAGAGAGCATCTTTCTTGCCTCAAGTAACCCCTTGGTCTTCCCCTGCTGATAGCAGGAAATTCCCAACTCTGCCCTCTTTGCTGAGTTGGTTTTTCTGGCCGTGTTGCCTTTGAGGACTGTGTGTGTTGATAGAAAACAGTTCCAGAGTCATTCATTATTGAAAGGTTCTTGATAGCTCTGTTACACCTTTTCAGGGCATATTGTGACTGACCTAAAGTAATCCAAGACTACTTTGTTGTCTTCCCCTCCTTAATCTCAATGCGTTTCCTTCCAGTTCCATATGCTTATTGACTGGGAGTATATGTGTATGTGTTTTGGATCTGTTGCTTGTGTGGCTGTATGGTAAGTTGTATTGGCTCTGCCCTTTCAACGTCATTGATTTTAGATTAGTTGTAGCTGATCATGAAAGCACACCCTTACACAGCCTTTCTGTTTATTCCCTTCTACTATATGGGCAGTCTGCAGAGATCACTGCAGTGCAGCAGGAGGCATAACAAAATAGAGCCCTGAAACAGGCTGAAGTTCAGAGTTGCTGCCCCCCCGCCCCTTTCTTCTGCTTGTGTGAAAATTGCAAACAGTGGTGCAAAACTAGCTCCTTTCCCAGGCTATTTTGCTTAAAACTGTAAAAATATGAAATGTTCATAAGAGGTTTCTCCTCTTGAATGAATGTTTCTCTCTTTACATGACTTTTGTCTATTTGGAGATTGGGAAGAATAGCTTCTGTATTCAAGCCTGCATGCTTTTTTATGCATCTCTCAGTACCTTTTGTGCTTTATTTTCATGTTCAAAACCAAATCTCAGTGATTTTTATTGCAGCATTTAAGAAGAAACTTAGTAATGTGGTGTTAAGGCAGTAGAGGGCTCTGGTGTTCTAAAAATCTTTTCTCTATTTAATAAAGTTTGTACTCTACTGAGTAATTACCAGGCAAATATGTCCGGGGATGTTCTCGAATCCTGTTCATATTGGAATTCACATCCACACTAAAACTACTCCCAGAGAGAATTAGAGGGGTTTATTATAACTGCAGTGCTAAAAGACACCTATTTAGATTCCTTGCAATGTTGAAATGAGATTGGATCAAGTTGATTTATTGATTTCTATTAAACTTGATAGAGAAGAGTCCACTGATACTTCAGAAGATTTTTTTTTCATTGTTAAACGTGGAGAAGAACCTAAGCCAAATACAAAATCCTAACATAACTACCATGAACTTTGTGAAGTTCAGATTGAGATCAGAACATCATGTCTCAGGCCCATTTCTAGTTAAAAGTGATTGGTTTAGCTCAAGCTTCTGGCAGTGGTACAGAGGTAGTATGAAACCATCAATTTCTTTGACTCTCTATGTAGTGTGAATTTCTTAAACTTCCTCACTGGAGCAAAAGTGGAAAAAATAGATCGTAGAGAATCAATTTGTTCAGCCTGTAACTCACTGAAATTCCCATTTCTATTTCAAAATCATTCGTGCTTAAATAAAAACATGTCATCTGGTCCTTCATGACAGCTTAAACCTTGGCTTGAAATGTCAGTCTGCTGTGATGGTGCCAGCGATTACCTCTCTGAGATCATCGAAAGAGAGAGAAGCTTGCTGGGTCTGCCAGAATATACCCTCTTTGTTAGGGCATATTCAGGATTCCCTAGTATCTGAAGTTAGGGAGGGCCTCAGTCTCACAGTGCTTGCATGAGTGTTTGGCTTTGATAATGAGAATTCAGGACCCTCTTTGTCACTGCCTCAGGTGGTTCCAAACTAGATGTATTTGCCTGGGAGATTTGAGGAAATCTTGCCAAATATAAAGACTGGGAAATGGCATGTGTGACCATGTGCCAAGATTATTTGAGATTTTTTTCCCCCTGTGTGACTGACACTAAGTTAAAGTTTTAATGATGATAAGAGAGTGCTGTCTCTGTTACGTGCACGAAATAGTATCCATTTTTTGTAAAATAAAAAATCATGTTTCCTTTTGGCCCAATGTTCTCGTTGATTTCAGGGTTTTTTTTGTTTGTTTGGTTTTTTTTAAGATTGAAATGATTTGCTCTGTGGCAGATGGAAATGTCTATGCATGTTGACTGAACTAGTAAGATCGTGCCTAATAATTTTAATTTCCACTCCAATGCCGATGGTGTATTTAAAGCAAAACTGGATGACATTATAAAATGTATTATAGGAAATGATATTAAACAGACAAAATATGGCAAAAGGTGGAGAATGGATAATGGGATGGGTAGAAGAACAAGTCAAAAACGATACTCAAGTCTGACAGGCTGAAAGAGATAGGAAAGTGAATGTCAGTGGATTGAAAGTGCGGGTGGAATTTTTTTTAAGGTATCTCTGTTATGCAGTTTTAAAGAGGAATGTTTGAAATCAAGTGCCAGAGATGATGTGATTGGGATTCAGAGACAGACTTAGAAGTCTATGGCTCTTTGGTACATAGCTACGAGAATGCAGGAAGATCATCTGCAAAGGAATCATTCATTAGGAAATGCTCTCTTTTTGGAGAGGGTGTGATCCTGAATAATAATCACACAGCAGGATAGATGAGAAGAAGCCCTCAAAAGAATAAGTAGAGGATCTGTTCAGTACAGTCGAAAGCGTGTCAAACAAGGGAGGGTGAACAGTTAAATGAAGTCCTGAAGATAAGTAGTAGTGATTGCTTCAGAAAGACTTTGCTTGTATTTTGATTCTTCTCTGTGTCATCACGATGACGTTTGTGAATATGGAACGAGCAGGATGATGACAACAGCAATATGAAAGAAGAGAGGAGCTGAATGTAAGTTGTGTGGAGAGCAAAACAGCTGCTTAAAGATTTTTAGAGGTAGTAAGAAACCTTGAGCAGTAATTCAAGTGCCAGCTAAGATTAGCGGATACTAATTCAAGCTGGGAAGGTATTGTGATGTAAATATATTACAACAGCAACTGACAGAGCTTTGGAAAGGGAGATAGGGGAAGAGGCAGGGGATTACAGATGACAAAAGAAAACAGGAGAAGGAATCAGGAAGACCTTTTAGATAGTTGCTAGGAGATAGGGGGAAGAGAGAGAAGTTGGGGCAGTGGAAGATGTAATTATTGCAACTGAAAAAATCAGAAGAAACATTCCCTCTCTCCCCTGCCTCCCTCTTCCCCCACACCCCAAGGAACAGGTGTCATTTTGAAGAGGCCATAGCAATAAGTTATTTGTAACAATAGCTGGGAAGGTCTACAAAGAAGAGTGATAGTGGTGTTAGACATGATTGCTGATGAGAACTGTGATCA